CACACACACACACACACACACACAGTGGTGGCTGGTGAAAAATTGTCTAGGTAGTAAGTAGTAAGACTTAAGACATTTTAAATAAAGATAATTGTTTTACCAAGGTAAAGATTGAGCATGATTCCCACAAAACTATATTTTCTGCAAGCTTTTTTCAAGATAAATTAAAACATTTTTTAATTTTCATAATTCACAATTTATGTATACAGTGCAACAGCAAAAACTGTGAGGGGAAAAAAATGTTGTTCAGAGAGCATTTTCTATACATACAGTATATAAATAACTACAAGTGAAGCTGCAATACCAAACACGACCACACGGAGATTTCAAAAGACCACTATACCAGTTGCCTTAACCTGACTGTATATAAGTATATACCGATCCATTCCGAATGATTAAACAGAGCAAAGCACAAATTTAAAAAGTAAATAAAAACATTCTGAATTTGTCGAATATGGCGATCTGAAGGCAGCTCAACATCACCAGTGAACAGTTCCTCTGTCAGAGTGAGTGTTCATGACCATATGTATATAAACACCATTGACCACCGCAAACTCCTATAATAACACGCTTCTTCAGCGAGTATCTTGCCAGACATTCGAGCATACTGAAATGTGCTTGTGCAAAAAGCTATTGGAGAGCGCACATACACGGTCTGTTTATTTGCACATTAATAATAACGGGCATGTCTAAAAATGCATGACTCCTGTATGTCAAAGTAATCGTCTTTATCTCCATTACAATCGTCATCCATCTAAACTTCTGGTCTGCTTTATTCAGCCCATACAGACTAGTCCTGACTTTATATTTCTTATTTATAGAGTTTGTTCCCACCAATCACTGCACTGGTTAAGGTTACGTATGATGATGAATGCACGTTGGTGCTCGCCCTCCCAGAACTCATAGAGATTGCATTGCAGTGCCTGCAGTTCGAAAAAAAAATCTTTGTATGGAAGTCTATGAGAACAGTCTAAGCGATTCTCGGCCAGAGTGAAATCGCCCAAAACGGGGCGGTACTCCACAGAATGTGACTTGACGCTGATTGGACAGTATATCCAGAGGCAGAACCAGCAATCTAGAACAGTGACAGCTGTGATAGAAAAAAAAAATCCCTCCCTTTCGCACTTTGGTGGCGTGTCGCCGAATCGCCCTTATGAAGAAACCGCC